GATACCAGTTCTCTGACCAAGTTGACACAACTGATGACACTAGACCTGAGTGGCAACCACCTCCTGGACACCATTCCCTCTAACATTGTCGGCTCATGAAGCTTTACGAGTTGAATTTAAGCGGAAGCTGCGGAACCAACTCTCCAGTACCATACCCGTTACTATCTCGGCAATGAACTCGCTTACATTAATTAGGCTTTCGAACAAAAATTTTACAGGGATGTTTCCTAAAAGCTTCTCCAATCTTAATCCTATGGGAATCGATCTAAAACACAATTCTTTGACGGGACAAATCCCAGATTTCCTAAATTATTTTTCATATCTTAAAACACTGAATCTGTCATGGAACACGTTTTCTGGGATTGTTCCAAAAAGTCTTGGATATCCTCAACTCAACATCCTTGATCTTTCTCACAATTTTCTTCATGGTCCTTTCCCAGAACTGTCTTTTATTATTCACATCATATAATAAGTTCGATTTCAGGGATATCCCAAAATGGGATACACCATGTCCTTCGACCTCTCTGAAGCTGGCAAAATGTGGCTTAATAGTTCATTGAATAACTGGATTCCAAATTGGACCTTTCTTTGCAAGTATCTTAATCTTTCGCATAATAAAATTACAGGAAATCTGCTACAACTGTTGAATAGCACGACATCTTTGATAAGTTTCGTGGCATCAGATAACAAGGTAAAGTTCAATATGAACACATGAAGATTGGAAAGAACCTGAAGTGCTTGGATTTGTCGCACAATTCAGTGTTTTGAAATGTGCCTCAAGCTGTTTCTGAGGCTAGAAAGTAGCATGTTAGTTCTAACCATTTGTGTGGTCGACTTCCAGTGACAAAGTTCCCGGCCAGCGCTTTCATCTCCAATGATTGTCTATGTGGCGCTCCATTGCCACCCGCAAAGACGAAGCCAAGTTCATTGCCAAAAAAAAAAAAGGGAAAGAAAAATAAAATCTTGTTAAGTTTCTTGATTCTGTGTTCAGAATAACGTCACTGTAGCATTTGTATTCCTCGTTGTCTATATTTTTTTTGTTACTTAAATGAAATGGAACATTTTTCCTTTCTTTCCCACCACTTTCCAAATTACAAGTGGAAAAATGCTTCTTGTACCGGGGGTATACAACCCCCTGACCGGCCCCCTCAAATTGTGGGCCCCCCTACTGTGAGGGGGCCGGTCAAGGGGAATGTGGGCCCCCCCTATTGTGAGGGGGGGTTGTAAACCCCCCGGTACAAATAGTGCGTATCTTACAAGAGCTCTCTTACTGTCTTAATTTCTTACTAGTCCAAAATTGGTTTTGAACAACCGAATATACTACTATAATCTCCTCACATTGGTGGATGCGATCAACATCGAATTTTTTCCCGATGATTAATGGATCCCACCTA